CCTCTGATGCTGCCTGGCCCGCTGTGTTCCTCCAGCTCCACACTGTGTTATTCCATACTTGGCATGTTCTTTGACCTGTGTCCACTATTCCACAGTTTTTCTCCTTTGCTTCTCCTCATGCCTTGTGCAACTTAAGATTTCAGCTGCACAATGCCAATCAAAACCTAAGCAGATGCACCCAAAAAGGTTAAGGCAGTGTTGAGTCACTCCAAAATCCAGCACATACAGTGCCTTGCCTACTGAATACCTTATATGCATAAAGATTTAAAACGCACATATCACTTGCTTGCAAAAATTTTAGTCGGGAGGGGGAACTTAATTCTGGCAAAGTGTCATTTTAATGAGTATTCAAAGAGGTGAAAATATATGCAGCTAGTGTTGGGAGGCTCAATTCGCCTTTAAAATTCCAAGAACTTTATTGTAATCTTTCATCCCAATCTCGGGATTCTGATTTTCGGCCTTTTTTGCACCTGCTTTGCTTCCAATGAATTGTACTTATTTTCAATATTCTCCAAATAATTAAACAAGAACTCACAGCTTCAATCCAGCTCTTCATATTTGGAAAATGTTCCAACACACCCCAGGGTTCACTGGATGTTTGATGACTACAGATTATACTTGTTAAGGCTTCGTTTGAAATTAAGTCCTCTGATAAGTTGAGAACATCCCTCAACTTCAAGACCATATCACTGCATGTAACAGTTACATTTTGGGTCAAGATCTGCAAAAGATAGAAGACAGAAATTTCCAATTTTCAAAAGCAATATATCTGTTAAGCTAAACAAATATATTCTTCACAACCTCCAAGCATGTCGATATTTTACTTTGCTATCCCAGACACAAGATTATTTGAAAATGTATTTACAGGGTTTTTCTACTTAGGTCAATTATTTATAAAACTTTGAATATTATTAAACTTTGAATAAAGCTAAAAAAAAATGAAGACTTAATTCCTGAAAATGTGTTACTTGCAGTAAAATGAGGCCAGGAATGGGACCTACCTTTAGCCAAGGCCAGAATCAGGCAAAACCACCTTTTGCTCAGGTGAGATCAGAAACTCCCTCTTGACCAGGTTGAGACTGGGGAGCCACCATTTGCCAAGGCTGCAGTTGTGAGCTTTTGGCTATGGCCTGATGTTCCATCTAATGAAACCAGGGTGTGAGCACTTTCCAAGGATGTTTGGATATGTATGAATGGGAGGAGAAGGCTGCAAGGTGGTTGTATGGGAAAGAAGGGGTTTGCAACATATCTATTAGGGGGAGAAGGTGGCTATAAGACTGTTTTGGGGGAAGAAGGAAGCTGCTAAGATCGGTGTGAGTGGGGTAGGGAAAGCAGGCCAAAATGGAGAGGCAACCTGTCAACAAAGGAATACTCAACTACCTGGGATACAGAAAAGATTTAAATACATGAGGTAATGAACTCTTTACAAATGAGTATGGAAACTCCAGTTCACAGCATTTATGAATGACTGAATGAGGAAAGTGAATGTACTAATCACCAAGTTTATGGATGACACTAAAACAGGTGAGAACGTAAATAGCAAGGATGAGACAAAGAATCTGCAGAGCGATAGAGATAGACTAAGTGGCAATATAATGTGGGAAAATGTGAGGCTATGTATTTTAAAGGAAGAACCGAGCAGATGAATATTATTTAAATGAAACAGGACTACAGAGAGCCACAGTACAGAGGGATTTGGACATCCTCATGCATAAATCACAAAAAGTTAGCATCTATACTCAGCAGACAATAGGGAGTGTAAATGGAATCTTGGTCTTTATTTGAGACCCACACTTCCAATACTATGAACGGTTTTGGTCCCCTTATCTACGCAAAGATATACAGGCATTAGAGGCAGTCCAGAGCAGGTTCTCTCAGTTGATCCCAGGGTAAGGAGCGATTTTCTCATGAGGAGAGGTTGACCAGGTTGTGCTGTACTCTTTGTAGCTTAATGGAATGTACACATTATTGAAACAAATAAGATTATTAGGAATCTTGACAGTGTAGATGCGGGGAGGTTCCCTTTACAGGAGAGCCAAGAGCCAGAAGGCATATCTCAGAGTAAGAATCATCCACTTGAGGAAAAGATGAGAAGAATTTTAATCCCTCAGAGGGTGGTCAATCTGTGGAATTCATTACTGCAGAGGGTTGAAGAAGCTGTTTGTTGAGTATATTCATTGCAGAGATAGACTTTTTTTAAAAAAAATCGGTATGGGAATCAAGAGTTTTCAGGATAAGACAGGAAAGTGGAGTTACAGAATCAGAGTCATACAGCATGGAAACAGATCTTCTGATCCAACCAGTTCACACCGACCATGCTTCCAAACCAAACTAATGCCACATGCCTGTGTTTGGCCCATATCCCTCCAAAGCCTTCTTATTCATCCAGTTATCTTTTTTTTTTAAATTTTGTAACTGTACCTGCATTTACCACTTCCTCTGGCAGTTCATTCCACACATGAACCACTCTCTGTGTAAAAATGTTGCCCCTCATGTCCTTTTCAAATCTTTCTCCTCTCACCTTAAAAATGAGCCCTATTTTGGTACTCTCCTACCCGAGGAGAAAGACCCTTGCTATTCACCTTGCCTATGCCACTCATGATTTTATAAACCTCTGTAATAAAAGGGGGCATGAGAATACCTTGGCAGAGAGGATCAAGGAAAACTCCAAGGCTTTTTACACGTAAGTGCAGAACAAGAGAATGACCAGAGAACGGGTAGGGCCGATCAAGGATTGTAAAGGGAATTTGTGCACAGAGTCCAAAGAGATTGGAGAGGTCCTTAATGAATACTTTTCTTCAGTATTCACAACTGAGAGGGACCTAGTTGTCAAGGAGGGTGGTGTGAAACAGGCAGGTAGGCTAGAGGAGGTTGATGTTAGTAAAGAAGATGTGCTAGGAATTCTGAGGAAGTTGAAGATAAATAAGTCCCCCGGGCCTGATGGGATTTATCCAAGGATTCTATGGGAAGCGAGGAAAGAGATCGCAGGGCCTTTGGTGATGATCTTTTCGTCCTCACTGTCCATGGGTATAGTGCTGGAAGATTGGAAAGAGGCAAACGTCATTCCCTTGTTCAAAAAAGGGAACAGGGATAACCCCGGAAATTACAGGCCAGTTAGCCTTACGTCAGTGGTGGGCAAATTATTGGAAAGGGCTTGGAGAGACAGGATTTATGATCACTTGAAAAGGCACAGTTTGATTTGTGATAGTCAACATGGATTGGTGAGGGGTAGATCATGCCTCACAAACCTTATTGAATTCTTTGAAGAGGTGACCAAACACGTGGATGAAGGTGGAGCAGTGGATGTGGTATACATGGATTTAAGTAAGGCATTTGATAAGGTTCCCCATGGTAGGCTCATGCAGAAGGTAAGGAAGCATGAGATAGGGGGAAATGTGGCAGATTGGATTCAGAATTGGCTGACCCTTAGAAGACAAAGGGTGGTAGTGGACGGAAAATATTCAACATGGTGCTCAGTTATGAGTGGTGTACCACAAGGATCTGTTCTGGGTCCTCTTCTATTTGTGATTTTTGTAAATGATTTGGATGAACGAGTGGAAGGGTGGATTAGCAAGTTCGCGGATGATACGAAGGTGGGTCACGTTGTGGACAGTGCGAAGGGCTGTTCTAGGTTACAAAGGGACATTGATAGAATGCAGAACTGGGCTGAGAAGTGGCAGATGGAGTTTAACCCTGAAAAGTGTGAGGTGATTCATTTTGGAAGGACAAACTTGAAAGCAGAATACAGGGTTAACGGAAAGATTCTTGACAGTGTGGAGGAGCAGAGGGATTTTGGGGTTCATGTTCACAGCTCCCTGAGAGCTGCCACCCAGGTGGATAGAGTTGTTAAGAAGGCGTATGGTGTATTAGCTTTCATTAATAGAGGGATTGAGTTCAAGAGCCGTGAAGTTATGCTCCAGCTATACAAAAGCCTGGTTTGGCCACATCTGGCGTATTGTGTCCAGTTCTGGTCACCTCATTACAGGAAAGATGTGGAAGCGTTAGCAAAGGTGCAGAGGAGATTTACCAGGATGTTGCCTGGAATGGAGGGAAGGTCTTATGAGGAAAGGTTGAGGCAGCTAGGGCTTTTCTCTTTAGAATGACGAAGGATGAGAGGTGACTTGATAGAGGTGTACAAAATGATCAGAGGTATAGATAGACTAGACAGCCAGAGACTTTTTCCTAGGATGGAAGTAGCTTTTACGAGGGAACATAGTTTTAAAGTGAAAGGAGGTCGATATCGGGGAGAGGTCAGAGGTAGGTTCTTTACTCAGAGAGTGGTAGGGGCGTGGAATGCATTGCCAGAGAGGGTAGTGGAGTCGGCCTCATTGGGGGCATTTAAGCGGCTATTAGATAGGCATATGGATGATAGTATAAGGTAGTGGTGGAGGTTAGATAGACCTTAGGTTTAGGGTAAAAGTTTGGCACAACATTGTGGGCCGAAGGGCCTGTACTGTGCTGTACTGTTCTATGTTCTATGTTCTATGTTCTATGTTCTATGTAAGATCACCCCTCAACCTCCTACAGTTCATTGAAAATAGTTCCAGCCTATCCAGCCTATTTTTAGAACTAAAACCCTCCACTTCTGACAATTTCCTGGTAAATTTTTTCTGACCTCTCTTGACATCCTTCTTATAACAGGGCGACCAGAAATGCACATAGTACTCCAGAAGAGGCCTCACCAGTGTCCTGTACAACTTCAACGTGACATCCCAACTCCTGTACTGAAAGGTCTGAGCAATGAAGGCAAGTGTGCTCAATGCCTTTTTTACCAACCTGTCTACCTGTGACACAAATTTCAAAACATTTTGTGCCTGAACCCCTTGGTTTCTCTGTTCTACAACCTACCCAGGGCCTACCATTAACTGTATAAGTCAAATTCTTGTTTGTTTTACCAAAATGTAATACCTTTCATTTATCTAAATTAAACTCCATCTGCCACTTCTCAGCCCATTGATCCAATTGATCAAGATGTCTTTGCAATCTTAGACAACCTTCTTCACTGTTCATTATACCACCAATTTTGGTGCCATCCATAAATTTACTAATCATGCCTTCTATATTCTCATCCAATTGTTTATATAAATGACAAACAAAAGTCGACCCAGTATCGATCCCTGTGGAACACTGCTGGTCACAGACCTCTAGTGCGAGAAACAACCCTCCACCACCACCCTCTGTCTCCTACCATCAAGCCAATTCAGCTAGGATATTGGAATAGACTTGCTGAGCTGTATGGCCAACCTCTGCTCCTACATCTCATGGTCTCTTAGGCTTAAAGTTGCATAAGTTCAAAACTAAAATATTCCCAACAAAATGCAGTGAGTCTTACTGAAAGTATACACATAGTCAACTGTTAAATTTAAATCCAAGACGTCGTAAAATGTGCAGTAGCTGCCTGATTAAATTGTTCCAAAAGTTGCATATGCATGTGTGATGAAAAGCTTCAATCATGGCCTCAGCAGTCTGTGAAAAATATGTTTAGGATGATGACTTTTCCTATAACACCATAAGTAGTAGGAACAGGATAGGCCATTCAGTGTCTTGAGCTTGCTCCACCATTAAGTAGGATCACAACTGACCTGAAATTCCTCACATCCATTTTCCCACCCTTTCATTTCCCTTCAACCCCATGATTCTACTGCTGAACAACAATCTATCTCAGCATTAAATATACACAACGACTCTGTCCCCACAGCTCTCTGTGGCAAGGAGTTCCAAAAACGCACAAGCCCCTGAGTCAAGAAATTCCTTCGGATCTCAGTCTTAAATTGACACCGCTTTATTCTGAGACAATGCCCTCTGGTCCTAAACTCTCCTATGAGGGGAAACATTCCCTTAGCATTTACAATGCCAAGCCTTTTAAGAATCTTATTTATTCCAATGTGATTACCTCTCATTTTTCTAAACTCCGTTGAATAGAGTTGCCACCTGTCTAGCCTTTGCTCATAAGACAATTCTTCCACAGCAGGCATCATCCTAGTGAACCTTCTCTGAATTGCCTCCAATGAAATGATATATTTCTTAAATAAAGGAACCAAAACTGCTCATATTACTCCAGATATGGTCTCATAAGCAGAAGCATATATCAGTTATTTTGGAAAAAAACATTTGTTGCTAACTTATGACTGTTGTCTTGTACCAGCTTCGGTATTTTTTTTTTCATTGTGTGTTGTGCCCTTAAGTTTAGTGGAGATTTGATTATCATAGAGATATTGATCAGTTATTCTAAGTCTTTTTTCTGGGACAGTGCAGGTACCACACATGTCACACAAGTACAGAAATCATTGTTACTGGATAACAAAATCACCTAATTTATGAGTTAGTGAAAACTAAACAGGATCATCAAAACCGAAAAAGTAACCATCAAGTCAAAACGCAGCCCTCAAGAAAATCATAGAATGAGTTCTTGATAAAAAAAGATTTAATGCCTGAAAATAGTTGAGAATTGGCTTAGAGACTGATATTATTCAACAATGGAGAATACAGGAAAAATTAAAGCATTGAAATCATTGAGCAAAATAAACACTTGTCGGAACAATTAATCTGAGTTTGGTTCAGCATGAGAGATACTTCCATAGGGAACTGAGCAAAGGAACACATTTCTGATGTCAGCACTTGCATAACTGACTGCGACAGCTCTATTTTGAAAAACTATCAGACCTTAAGCAAGGTTCTATCATAGTCTGCTACAACAGGAATGCATCCAAACTGCAATGAAACCCACAGAATGTATTTCAAGGGCACTAAAAAAAATAAATTATCCTGCGACTGAATGTCCCAAGTAATACAGCCAGAATTACATTACAGATGCATCTCACTAAATCAGTTTTTCTGTGCTTTAATGCTGATTTCATCGATTTACCGTTTTCAGTTCTGTCATCAGGATATCAATATCCAATATCATCCGGTTCACAATATTCACTTGCAGGGTGGTAAACACCTTCTTCAGAAATTCAAAAGTAGCTGAAAGAAGATTTTTAAAAATGGTTTCACAATTTTACAGTAACATGAAGAATCAACAGATCGACAAATGGAAGTGTTGTCATAAAATTCATTTTGCTTTTACAGAATACTGTTCATAACCATTTCATAAATTTCATAAAGCAGTGCTGAATTAAATCCAAATTTTTGAAGAGAATCAGCAAAATGGAAAACAGAGTCTGATTCAAGAATTATAGATGCATTCTTTAACTCAGCTGCTACTTAGTTTCTAGTGCATAAGGGCTGAATGAATACCAGAATGATTTTTATATTATGGTGAACTTATAGGAATATACAAAATCGGTTTTTCATTGCTGATTATAAAAATTGGTTTTTCAGGTATTTTAACTTTCAACCTTATCATCAAAAACAAGAAAAAAATCAGGAGTACAATAGTACCTCAATAGGGAAAATCAGTAAAATGTATTTATATTTTGATTATCATGGAGAGGCATTAAAAAGTGTGTGCTCCAATCCAACATTAGATTCCATGATCACAAAATACTTTCAAGCCATTTTAAGGATAACATATATTTATGGTATTTGCAAATTGTTTGTGCATTGCAAAGTTTTGACTCAGAAAGTATACTTTTAAAAAGTTACGTTGTTGCACAGCATAATGAAGCACAAATATTTGAAGACACTGATAAACCTGAAATAATGAGTACTAGATTTAAGTATCATAATGTGCATTCTCAAGTGTGGTGAATTCTGGAACTTTTAGTAAATTTAAGGAGGAGAGATAGATAGATTTTTAATTTGTAATGAAGTTGAAGGGTTGTGGAGAGTGGGCAGGAAAGTAGATTTAAGGCCAATCATCCTGCATCTATCATGGCTAATTCACCTAGCCTGTACATCCTTGAACACTATGGGCAATTTAACATGCCCAATTCACCTAATCTGCCATCTTTGTTCTGTGGGAGGAAATCAAAGCACCTGGAAGACAGTCGCCCAAGAATGGAATCAAACCCACGTCCCTGGTGCTGTGAGGCAGCAGTGCTAACCACTGAGCCACCGTGCCACCCCTTACTTTGTGCATGAATCTTTTGTGCAGTGCCTTATCAAAAGCCTTCCGAAATTCAAGATTTACCACGTCTACAGAATCCCCATTATCCACTGTGTTTGTTACATCTTTGAAGAAATGTAGCAAATTAATCAAATGATTTAACCTTCATGAAACCACAATGACTGATTGATTGCATTTGATCTTCCACAGAAATGATGCTAAAAAGAAGTACATGCTAAAAAGTATGATGTATTTTTTGACTGTAAAATTCTGGCTTCTAATGAGGAGAATCATTCAGTGCAGTTATGCAACCATTCCATCATAAAATTATTTACTTCTGTACAAATGTTTTCAGCAGTAACAGCAATCAGCTTCACCTTACAATGGCTTCACTCATGGAGCATATTATGGTCAAAAATCACACGCCAGTTGCTTGTATTATTACACACTACAGTATTAAATTGATTGACCTATTTAACCATAAAGAAATAATGGTGAAACAGATAGACAATAATGATTGGTGCACAATTACAGTGAATAGAATGGTCAAAGGTTTCTTGTGGGACATTATTCATATTTTGTGTTCTTGACCTACATTATAATATCATCATTTCCTGATTTGGTGAGTAAGTGACACTAATATAAGTTATCTTGTCGCTTAGCTGTTTATTACTGTTCCAAAAATAGCATGCTATTCTTCCAGCTCCTCTCCCTCTCATCCAACACAAATTGTTTGCATGAACCGTTTCCTTTTAATAGAAGATTTATTGCTAATCAGTCCCATGATTTCTGCAACTGTGTTATTATTTAACATGCGTCAACAATTGCTCATTGCCCAATTTGTGTGTAATCGCTGACTACTATATTAAGAGCCTATTTAAATTTAATTTGACACCCAGGATTTGATTTGATTTCACATAACCTTATTTTGGTTCACTTGGGGAAGAGTTGAAGTAGCAATCATTTAGTTCATTTAATTAATCATCAATTTGCAAACATTTCGAATGCATTTTCTGATCAACAACTTGAGATCATTTCAGCAAAGTAAACACGAATTTAATACATTAATAAAAGGACATTTAATCTATTCATAGAAGGACATTTCAGACAAATATCAAAACATGAATTTTCCAATTCTGGCTTAAGAACCCGTCCACCAGAACATACAACCATATGAATCCGAAACAAGAGGAAGCTATTCAACCTGTAGAGCCTGCTCTGCCATTCGACAACTCATCAGATTGTAATCTCAAATCTGCATTCCCATCTACCCCTGATAATCTTTCAAGTCATTACCTAACAAGCATTAGAGGGAAGTCAACTTGTTGACTTCTTTACCTCAGAGAGTTGCTAAGGTTGGATCGTTAAGTATATTCAAGGCTGAGATAGACAGATTTTTAATTATATTCAGCACTAGTCGGAGTTAGAGATAGATCAGTGTGTTTGACATGCAAAGAAAGGGCAACACTCTCTGTGATATTGCTATTGTATTCATGTTTTTTGTGGTACTTGCAATTCGAGCCATAGATGTCAGCTGCGCCTCAGCCGCTGATCTTTCCAGTGTTGAAGAGCACCAGTAAAGGGCTTAGGTAGCCAAAGAGACTACTCCTTGTCAAAGAGTCTAAGGGTCATTGCACAGGGGGTACCAGCATCATTCCTTGCCACTACAGCCCCTCTGACCGAGAAATGATCCCTGATGCAAAATCCTGTGACATTGGGTACTATCCCACCGGGCACCTCCATGACAATGATGGAAGTCACAGGCATTTCAGCAGGACGCAAGTACAATCGAGCAATTGGCTTCACCTTACCATCAGCTACAGGAGAAGCACCTCATGTGAGTGTGCAGCAACAAAAGGCACCATGCTAGTAGTTGCACTGGAAGAGTCACAGTACTTTTTCATATGATTTATACTGTTGGGATAACATTAGTTAATGACATTGATCAATCTCCGTGGCATTAATATTGGGGTGCGGACTGAAAGGGTGAGGGCAGAACTGTGATCTGAGGTGGTTCAGGGACCCATGTAGGGTCTTTTGTAGATGTTTTTCCTGTTATGTTAGTGTTGGTGGTGAGAGTGACCTCATGTTCCAGGTCCATAAATGGAAGTGGGATTATTTAAATAAGTGTGCTTGCTGGATGTTTTCCTATGATGGAGATTGTGTTTAACAGTCATCTGTCCTAGATCTGGGAATCATTCAGTTGTCATGTTGCTGAATCAGCAACATGCTTGTGGTCATGCCAACCTGAAGTTTGGCATGAGGTTAGGGAATGCAGAATTTGGGTCTCCATTGCATGAGTGTCAACCTTATCTTTCTGTATTTCCTTCAAGGACGATGGGCCAGTCCCTCCTCTTATTCTATCTCAAGGCTTCTTTATATAGTCATGCTGTGCAGTGAACCCGACAAGTCAACTGTATTGTGCATAATGGCTGGCTTATGGCAGAGGGCACCAGAAATCAGTCAAGGCTATGGAGGTACATCTTATAGATTTTTTGTATTTGTACACAGGATGTGGGCATAACCGGCTAGACCAGCATTTATTGTCCATTCCTGGTTGCCCTTGAGAAGGTGGTGATGAGCTGCCTTCTTGAAACATTGCAAAATGGAAGAAGAGGGGAGGTCTAGGCACAGTCACAATATTATTAGGAGGAAGTTCCAGGATTTTGAACCAACATCAGTGAAGGAACAGTGAATTAGTTCCAAGTCAGGTTGGCAATTGGCTTGGAGGGAATCTTGCTGATGGAGATGTTCCCATGCATCTGCTATCCTTGTCCTTCCATGTGGTAGAGATCATGCTTTTGGAAGGAGGTGTCCAAGGGAGCCTTGGTGAATTGTTGAGGTGCATCTTGTAGATGTTAGATGTTTCAGCTATTGTGCATTGTTTACGGAGGGACAGATGTTGAAGATGTTGAATGTGCTGTGAATCAAATTGACAATTTGTCCTGTTTGATGTGGAGATTGTCATGTGTTGTTCAAGTTGCATTCGTTCAGGCAAGAGGGGAGTATTTCATTACACTCTTGACTTGTGCCTTTTAGATGGTAGATGGGTTTTGAGGAGTCAGAAGGTGAGTCAAACATTGCAGAATGTCAGGCACTGTAGGGGGTGGAATCAACCAAACATCCTAGCTTGAAAGAAAGTTTGGAGATTGCAGGAGAGGTGGGACAAGAATAAGACATGGTGCCAGTTTGGATATCGTGGGGATGTGGACATGACGTGATCAGGGAGGATGATATTAGGAGGAGTGGACATTATGGAGGGGCGATAGTTAATTGACAGTGGTGATCAATTCTCTAGAACATGTTGTGCATGGACTTCTTCTGGCCCACAAGCCTTGCTCTAAAGGCAATTACCTCATAAATGTCACGATTTTTATCCGACTTTAACTCTTCAGTATCCTGAAGACCAGAAATTCTGGGGTGCCGTGTGTTAAACATAAAAATACATCGAAAATGAGCAGCAAGTTGATCAACTACCTCCCCTCCACCCAACCAGAACCTGTTGTGATGTAGACAGATTGGGATTGGGTTTGAGAATTCTTAAACTGTTATCTTCCCACCAACACTTACTCACATTTCTTTGCAGATTAAAAGTTCACCCAATGGGCCCCAAAAATGTAGACTTGAAAGAAAACTGTACCGGTTAAACATTAAATATTTTATGCTACAAAACCCAATTTCAACTACTACAGTTTTTCTGACTTTGAACCAAACTAAACGACAATTTCACCTTCATAAGATACCAAGAACTGTTTACCCCCTACATCAAGAAACTATTTACTCTTCTGAAAAAAATTCATGTGTGTTTCGATTCCTTAAACCACAAATTTGCAATTTATAGAGAGATAGAGAGATATTACAGTCTGAAAAATATCTCCTGTTTTAAAGGAAAAAGTGCTTCTAACTTTTGCCAAATTTTTAAGGTACCTATCATATTTATGAATTAAGTCCAGAGAAATATCATTACACTGTAGAGTCTTTAGATTGATCTTAATCTCAACTGAAATGTTTACAATTTTCTGTCATCTTGTATTTTTCTCAAATTCAGTAGCACCTCAGATTCACCAAAAAAAAATGATCATGCCCTAGTTGAGAATGTTAATTTCATTCCAAAGCTTTATGTTTCTTTACATATCACATCCAGTACAGGTCTTCTGCCAGAAGTAGTTCTGCACTTTCGCAGTTGTGGTATTGTTATATTATATTGTTAAATAAATCGAAAACTGTAAAGATTATTTGACATTTTTAATAAGAAAAGGGAGATTGATGAAATCAGCAACCAAAATTCATGGCTGTCAACCACTTGAACAGGCATAGTCCCTTTTAATTTCAAAGCCATTTTATTCTAAATGATAATTGCTCATTTGCAAATGTGTTGGACGAATGCACAGAAAGAAATCAGCTGGAATAGAAAGGACATGAGTCACTGCATCATCTCTTGTCTTTTCTCTGTGCACTTGCCATTGTAACAAATAACACTAGATACTAGACATTGAAACCAGTTCATTATCAAGCATTATCAGTTAAATATAGGATAAAGCTTCCTTATTCTGTTCCAATAACAAAACCTCATTCATAACCTCAGCAGCCCAAACCAACTAAACTAAGATGCTGTTCTTTCATATCCTTTTTAGGGGCGGCACGGTGGCACAGTGGCACAGTGGTTAGCACTGCTGTCTCACAGTGCCAGAACCTGGGTTCGATTCCACCCTCAGCTGACTGTCTGTGTGGAGTTTGTACATTCTCCTGGTGTCTGCGTGGGTTTCCTCTGGGTGCTCCAGTTTCCTCCCACAGTCCAAAGATGTGCAGGCTAGGTGGATTCACCATGCTAAATTGCCCGTAGTGTTCAGGGATGAGTAGATTAGGTGGATTACAGGGGGATGGGTCTGGGTGGGATACTCTGAGGGTCAGTGTGGACTTGTTGGGCCGAAGGGCCTGTTTCCACACTGTAGGGATTTTATGATCTGTAACTCTAACTATTCTTCTGAAAGGCATCACTAATTGTTAGTGAATTCAGTACAGCTTTTTGCTCTAGGCCCAAATGCATTGGATTGAATATCCTCAAACTAATTTAACGCAGAACTCTCACTGTCAACAGGCATTTAATCCATCTGAGTCAGAATCTGAAGGTGAAAGGCCAATGTCTACACCACTGCACTATCCAGTCACTTTAAACATTTTACTGACATATTAGCAAGATGTAAAACCTAATAAACCTTATCACATTCTGAATTCATTTCTAGACTGTCAGTATAAATTAAATTTTAATTTATGATGCTAAATTATAAAATTCATGGAACTGTATTCCACTAAGTATTATTGAAATAAAAAATCCTTATGGAAAACCAGAAATGTGTATACTGTACACTCTGTACAATTTGAAACATCACTATTATACTGCTTTGTCTGGGATTTGAAAAAAAACACTGCTGTGGCTTCTGAGCAAAACAGAATTAATTTAGTCACAAACATAAACTGCAGAAGCTGTGCAGAATCAATACACTGGATTTTAGATCCACTTGTCAAAACCATTCAGGATCTTATACACTTCAATCAAGTCACCACTCCTCTTCTACAGTCCAGCGAAAAAATGCCCCAACCTGCCCAAACTCAACTCATGAGACAAATCTGCTCATTCCAAATATCAATCTGAATTGCCTCCAGAGAAACACAGAAAAAAGGAGCAGAAATCAACCATTTGGCCCTTTGTGTCACCCAATGCGATCGTTACTGTTCATCCAACTCAGAACCTGTTCCTGCTTTCTCCTCTTTGATCTTTATCTAATTCCTACTTGTATTTTATTGCAATATTAATAAAGCTTATGTTACTAAGTATAATGTTTCTTTCAATGTCATATTATCCTTATTAAGTCATAGATGATGCTCCCTTCTCAAAAATACCTCTCTTTGTCACTGGAATAAATCTTTGCTGAGAGTTATTAAACATCTCCTTAAATATCTGTCTTGCATCTCTACTGTCCTACTTTTTAAAATAATGTTCCACCTCAATTGATCCTGCTTTGCCTTCATCCATGAATAAGTAATTATTTTTCTTCACATTAAATGTACTGTTCTTACATTCACACGTTTCTTCCAACTGAAGATGAAATTTTGCCAAGTTATAATCATCATTCTTCAGACTCTGGAGAGTCTCAGTGCACTCAAAACATTGACTTTCTTTCTCAACAGATGCTACCTGACCTGCTGAGTTTTGATAGCATTTTCGGTGTTTGTTTCCAAATTCCAGCATCCACAGTTTTGTTTTTAGTAAAAAGTGGAGGACTGATCCAAACTGGTCAATTAATATTCCTTCAATTTATTCAATATCATTAGCAAAGTGATGGAAGTAATTGATGGAAGTGATAATAAGCAGCACCTACTTACTGATACTAGGTTGAACTCCACCAGGATTAAATAGTTCCTGGCCTCATTACAGCCTTGAAGCAAAACAAAATTGCATTCTAGCAGTGAGATAAGAATGACTCTCTTCGACATGAAGATATTTCAGTGAATGTGAATTCTATAAAGTTGTATGCAGTTTGGCAGTCCATTACAAAACCTGAAGTGTGAAGTATACACAAAAACTCATAGCAAAGACAATAGAATAATTCAAAATTGTAATCTAATCTGGTAATATACTGGTAATAGAACATTCACTAGTTGTGATATCATTTGAACCTGTCAATTAATTTTCAATTAATTAATTTATCATTTATTGTAAGTGTTCACTGCTTCCTATTTTACTCAACGTATGGTGTGCCACTTGATTAGTTTGGTCAACAGCAGTTTAAATCCCAGAAATGTTCATGAAAGACATCCATTTCAAATTTAAGAATTCTAAGAATCCTCCTACCTCGATCAGCATTCCATCTTGCAATAATGAGGTTTCTGAGTGACTTATCTACCATAAGCATGTACTTGATTTGAGGCCACTGTTTCAAAGACTGCACATTTTCCTGAAACCTTTCAAGGTACTTTTGTGATCTGCAAATATAAATACAGCATTAAACTCTTCTCAAATGGAACATGAATGTATATTAGTGTGTTAACGGTTTTTTTTGTCAGTGACAAAAGTTTAGTGGAAACACATACACCCAACATAGATGTTATGTTGACAGATCATTCAGTCAGTCCAAGTTGCTGTGGCAACAGGCACCTTTTACATGCATGTTGTAGACTGGAGTTGTAGATAATGATGGCACAGATTCAAACTTTCTTTCATGGCTGATCAGAAATCTCTACCACTCTTACCACCTGCCCTTAGCATGTATTACAAGGATTGCAGGACAATGAAAAACCTGCTTGGCTGTGTAATAAACCTTTCTTGAACATCAAGTCCTGGTGTGGGGCTCACAATCCACTTCTGGTTCAGTAACAGGGATGTTCTACGACTTCGTAGAATCAGTATACATTAAAGTCAGTTTTAAATTCTGCTGCTGTCTGGTAATACATCCCTTTCCTTCATGGGTTGTAAGAGTGCAAGATCTAAAACACCGAAAGGTCAGCTCCTGTTGCAACAACAACGGGACTTCCTTCCCAATCGTCATACAATTTTCACAGCACTAGACATCACACATATTTAGTTGATTTCTTGAGGTGTCTGTCTCAACATTGAAGTCAGTCTGGAGGTACAAATCAAATCTTAAAATTTACATTTTACTCAGCAAATGGTTACAATTTGGAAAGTGTTATCTGACAGCGTGATGGAGATAGATTTAAACATGACATTCAAGGAGAGTTGAGTAAGTATCTGATGAGGAAAGAATTGTAGGGCTCAAGGGAAAGGCAGGGATGTGAGATGATCTCAGTTGCACTCAATTGCTGTTGCCGACATGAGCCAAATGACCTCCTTCTGTACTGTTAGCAAAGCATGATTCCCCGGGCTGGATTTTATAGCCCCTTGTCAGGCATGTTTTATAATGGAGGGACATGTAAAGTATGATGGGTAACTAGTTCAGCTTACTGTCCACTCCCAAACCATTTCCTAAAAACAGTAGATAGTTGGCATAAAAAACAGCAGCCTGTTCATCATTTATTAAGAAATAAAAATGGGCATTAATCCTCTAATAACTGCGCTGTTTCCTCACACTCTCTTTGCCACCCTCACCTCCTCTCATTTTGCTCCAAATCCCAGCTGATCTTTTCTCCAGTTTTCTTCTCTTCCTCTTCTCATAAAGCCACTAAATCATGCTGCATTACAGTTCCATGGGCAGCACTTGCCCTCCATTAACTCATCTACATGGCTATAATGTGCGAGCCTGAACAGGTATGAGCAAGCAGCCTTTTCAACCGTGGAAACATCAGAACTAAATCCCAGTCCTATCTTTTGCCTATTTTGCTCATTCAAGCAAACCTTTAACAGGGATAGGTGCTCAGGAAAATCCTACCCAATTGTTCACTTTTTAAATTTGGATCACAATAGCCAAATTTATTGCTTCTCAATGCCTTATTAAAATTGGTCAACTCAAAGATGAAGACAGTAGCCATCTTATTTACATGACTCCAATACCCCATAATCTTAGGGATGTATACTTTAGGTTGCTATTTAAATTATTTCTAAGACAAAATACCAGGTTTAACCTTTATCAGCATCCTAAGTAGCAATAGATATTTAATACGCTAAATATTTTACTACTTATAAATATGTACACCATTTATTTCCACAATCATCCACCATGACTTTAAGATAGCCTTTATGCTGTTTCTTCATGGTTTCAATGAATCATTCATCTACATTGTTACAGAAAATGCAGATGACGTTGCTTCACCTCCACCCTGCTTAATTAATTATCCCCTTAAGACCATGAGGAAAAAAAATCATACTTTTGCTAACAGGCCTACATGTTGCACAGAAGCAATAAAATAACTGACTCACTCTCCTGATGGATCCACAATGTGGTGAAAAAAGTCACTGAGCAGGGAAATAATCTGTTGTGCTGGTGAAGATTTTTTGAAGTCCCGGTTTTCTGTTGAAAGTCTCATTACAGCTGCTGACATTTGGTCAAACGTGGTCACCAAGTACTCAGGGAATCCACTTCTACGCCAAACATTAAAAGCCTTAAAGTGTTACGTGAAAAATACAAAATAACAGAGTGAGTCAAAACAGGCAACTGAACAGTTTCCCTGCTCTTTAGGAATATAGCCTCATTACCATAATATAATGCAAGAATTAATTTTAGCATTTATTAAACATGTTTTAGTTTGAAACCCAGGGAGATTTTGCTTAAGTTGTAATATGGTATGTAAAGCAACATTTTTGAGCTATGTTCATTGTAAAGCACAGCAGAGAATCCAGTCTTTCATTTTAAGTTTATGCAGAGATCCTTATTTACACAGACGTCCTAGGAAAAATTGGGAACTGAAATGGTTCTTCATTTATATTAAATATTATTGTTTCTTTGTTAATATGATTGGAGTTGTTGATTCTTAATACCACTCACACAATCTCAGTTAGCATCTCTTCTGAAAATGTGACATGGAGATCATTTAGACAGTTAGATTTTAACACAATTACGGATGTTGGCATAAATGCCTCAGCAAATAATATGTTCATTGTTAATAGGCTGAACAATGAGAAATTCTGTCCTAAATAGATATATCACAGACCCATTAAGTCAGGGACAATAGCACTCCTGCGTTGGAGCAGAGCATGCAGAAGTTTTTTTTATTATTCATTCAAGGGATAAGAGCGTCGCTGGATGGGCCAGCATTTATTGCCCATCCCCACTTAAGAGTCAACCACATCCCTGTGGGTCTGGAATCATACGTCGGCCAGACCAGGTAAAAATGGCAAATCGATTCATTTGCCACTTATAACCACATTGTATAAACATAAACCACAGAACTGGGTGAAGAACTGATCGTCTTTAGCTCATAAAAACTTTAAAAATGTTGTGAGCAATATCAATGAAAGTGTATTCAAATGTATCATTTGAGATCACAAACCAAATATTTTTAAGTACTTACAATGAAAAGCTGAATTCTCTGCTGTCCTTTGCAATGAACATTGATTAAAATGTTGCTTTCCACACTATATTGTAACTCAAGCATCATATGCTTTTGCAAAATGATCAATCAGATGTAGCTCATATGGCTCATGAGCAACAGTGTTACATTTTTTTCCAATTCAGGCTCATTTTCATTGATGCCAATCATGAAATAATCAGTGATTTTCCAAACGGAGCTTTATCTTTGTAATTTTTTCAATATATTAATAAATCATTTCACTTTAGCAGTTTTAACTGATTCTAAATTTGTTGATTTTCTTATAACAATGCTTGGTGATTGATGGAGACCAGTTATACCAGAGCATCACATGTTGTCATGTGATCTAGCTGCCTTAAAGGTATACTGCCTTTATGTAATCTCATATAAACCTTTGCTTTCTCGCGGTGATTGGACAATGGACAGACAATGGATAAGGGTATCCTGACTTCTGTGATGATATTGGACATTGAGCTGCATGATGGATCGTGTATGGTCCCACACCAGCTGGAAACTGAGAGAATCAAACACTTTGCAGTTTTGGTACGCCTCTGACCCTGTATGATAGGAAACCACCGTCTCTCTCTATAATGGGAGAATGTAACATGCTCACTTTGCTTTGCATACAGAGCGTCAGTGACTGCCCTTACCTGTAGTGGAATCAGAAGTGTCAGATGTTGGACATGTTGCCTGCTCTAGCTTAGAAGGAGCCCAAAGCAATGAAATTCAATGCCATTGCTACTTTTATAGTCACTGACAATGACTGACAATTACCCTGTTCTGAGACTACAGGTCTAGATGCAAGATGTGACAGATTTTCATGAGCTCTCCATTGTGAAATGGAAACATCTCAAAGTGTTCCTTGCTGAAAATTGTTCCCTGAAGTCACTGGGTGAGTATGGCCTCCCGCTGACAGCCATTCTCCCTACTCCTCCCTACATCCAACCTCTTCAAACAGATTGCTGTCCTTGGTCTTGCCTCTGCTTATTGTCCCTATAACACTGTAAGCTGAGGGTGATGGAAGTTATTGACTGGGGGATAGAGTGTGAGCAGAATCCACGCAGTCAGAACCAGTCTTTCGCTACATCAAATCAATCCTTGTAAACTTCATCAAAGTTAATAAGCAACAGAAAACACATAACACACTTCTACCATTTTGCAGAAACCTGTAGAAATCAACCAGCAACTAACCATTAAAGTTGCTAATGTTCTCTTATGTTGTTTTTGAGGTAGTGGGGTGAAAGCAGGAGTGTGGGAGAGCCTTCCTGCTGCTGAACGCATGTTCAGCTGTGCAAAAACTAAGAGATGGTGTTATTTGGAGCACTGAACTTGAAAAGCCACCTCTACAGTAAAATCAGTGTTACATGCTAATTCCCTATACTTCAGAGACATGGTCCCAGCATCAGTACTATGTAGCTAAACAATATGGCAGTAACGCAGCCAGCACTCAGTGCATAACATGTGGATGTCCTCCACGTGGGGAGTTGTGTCAAGGCCACAAACATGCTATTGCATGTCTCAAGAATATTAAATTACATTAGATTGTTCTTTGGAGTGGATGGTTATTTTGGATGTTTGTACAGATGCTGGTAATCTGAAGTTCAAACGGAAAATTCTGGAAATATTCAATAGGTCAGACAGTATCAGTGGAAAGGGATAAGAAGCATGATTCTCCCCTCCTTGATATGGCAGCAGAGGAAGTAATAGGGCAAGCTGACCTTAGCGAGAAACTCATTCCCATCTTGTCACTTCAGCCGATAGTCAGCTTGTCATTTCTGAGGAAGGACGAGGGAAGGTACCCTATCTACTGATCCCTTGCACCCCTTTCCTGTGACCCTCAGTCTATGTAACCCATTTCCCCTACATTATTTACCTGGCTTGGTCACTGCAAGATACCTTGACCCAGGGAGACTCTTCGAGCAGCAGCGACAGCTTTTGACTTCTGAATGGCTGGCAAGCTGTCTATAAATGAGATTCTCTCCCTGGGTCTTGATTTCCAGAGTTAGACCAGCTGGTAGCCTCACCACTGCCTGATTGGCTTCTGGTTCAGCAGATCTTCCTATGAAGAAGCAGGTTTCTTGCTGGCTGTCCAACAACAGGCATGATTCCTGATCAGTGAAGGGCTGCCTTCATTCTGCCCATTCACTCCACCGATGCTGCCTGACCTGCTGAACATTTCCACCATTTTCTGTTATCATTTTTCATTAGTTCATCAGGGCAATAGTCTAATGTATCTTTTTCTTACCTTTTTGGATAACTTAAACATGTCAATATTGTGGAACAGATAAGTAGACAGATAGTTCAACCAAGCACACGGGACAAAGTGATCCATCTTTGTGCACAAAAATTTCTGGAGTTCGCGCTCATTCAGGAGAATAGAAAACTGAAATAAAAATACAATTAGAAAATTTTGCTTGAAAAAGGCAGTTACATTTTCATGACTACCATATTTCAGATTGTAACAGCACATTTATAGTCTACAGACATTAATCAGGTTTTGGTTACAGCTCTTAACTTGAAACTGCATCTAAGTTGGTCAAACATCCATTCAATCTTTGGAAATAAAGGATGCTAATTTGGGCTCCATAATACCAAAATCCTGCAGGAGGAACATTGTGTTTTCAGCCAATTCTGGTATTGTCCTTGTATCGTTAGGCTTACAGTATATGGGCATGACACTCATTACCCAAACTGGGAAAGATCAGACAGCAATATCAATGTGCCACAAACAAAAGCAGAAATTGCTGGAAAAACTCAGCAGGAGTGCTGAAGAAGGGTCAAGTTTTTCCAGCAATTTCTGTTTTTGTTTCTGATTTCCAACATCTGCAGTTCTTTTGGGTTTTCGTTTAATATCAATAAGTCACCTGGCTGGTTAAACACATTTTCTTCTTAAACTTGGTCAACATAGTCCCACCTAATAGCTGTACAACTCACTCTCACCTAAACACATTGTGAAGCATCTGCCCATACACTACCACAACTGCTGGACCATAACACATCTTTGCCTTTCTGGGAAGGAGTTGAGAAAGCTGCTATGCTTCTAACAATATAAAGGCTATACTCAGATATTTTCTAAACATTTGCTTTTAAAATCCTGATGCATCGTATTGTCTGGAAAATATGGTGTTTAAAGGGAGAGCAGAGGACTTTTTTGCATGTAATCTCCAAGGAGTCTGGAGATTGTAATTGCAGTGGGTTTGCATCAAGGAACATGGTCAACAGACTGAACAGAATTTGCAATGATGGGAATATCTATGAAGAGGAGAAAAAAATGAGGAGGTCATGCGAACCACTGGTGTTCCCAAAGTACCTCTCTTCCCTCCCTCAATGGATGTGGTGACTCAGATTCACCAAGGAACTACTTATGGGACTGCACCACAACCCTGAACATAACATAAAGTTTCAAAGTAAGGTGAGCATGGTGTTATTAAAGGTAGCGAAGGTCAGAGTCACATTAAACCTCTATATGAACAAATCTTTCCAGGTGAGGGTGAACAATATATCCTACATTCTCCACCAGCGCCAACCCCCACCCCACCCCGCAGCCCTTCACTGATACATTCAGGATGAAGTGAATATGTCAAGAAATGTAATTACACTGTGTTCTCTTTAAGGAGGGACAAGTATGATGAGCAGGCCAAGGTCTTATTTAAAATTTGTCTTTGATGGTATGTGATGACATTGGAAAACCTTGCATTTGTTGGTGGTGATGAGGCATATTCTAAACCACTGCAGTCCGTAGGTGTCAGTACACTCCTAGTGCTGTTATGACAGGAATTCAGGGATTGAATTCAAAGGAATTCAAAGATGGGGTGTTCCTACGCAACTTCTGCCTTTATTCTTATGAGAAGTAGACATCACAGTTTTGGAAGGTGCTGTCAACAGAGCATTGTAGGAGCAGAAAGGCTGACGTTTCCGGCCTACACCCTTCATCTGATGAAGGGTCTAGGCCTGAAACGTCAGCCTTTCTGCTCCTATGATGCTGCTTGACCTGCTGTGTTCATCCAGCCCTGCACCTTGTTGTCTCGGATTCTCCAGCATCTGCAGTTCCTACTATCTCTGTCGACAGAGCACTTGTGAGCATTTGATGAGATTCTCATGCTGGTGGCCATGCAGAATGGACAGATTGTGACATTAAGCAACATTTAATGCTATTTTGCAATTATCATTTTGGATCTCACTGGTCCTTTCAGCAGTCTCTGTTAAAGATCTCTTCAGCGAGATAAATGATCTCTCCCCACCCACTTACACACTTTAACGGTTTCAGCATGGCACCTCCAAGTGAGATGCTTCTGACTTTCTTTTGCTGCTGTTGAGTGAGTGCATATGTTGTTCAGAAAAAGTATGGGAAATCAGAAGGTCAGTTATACTGGATCTTCTAACAGAGTGGTGAGGCTGCAGAGTTCTCTGCCATGGAAACCAATTGAGGACAAAACATTGAATGTTTTCAAAAAGGAGTTATAGTTTTTAGGGCTAAAGGGATCAAAGAGTATGGGGAGAAAGTGGGAACAGGGTAGATTTTGAAAATCAGCATGATCATATTTTTTAGCAGAGCAGCATGACAAGAATATAAGCTCAGTCCAGCAGTTAGGAATTCTGTAAATTGTAACTCACTCCTGACTCCAGAAACCCTGCCTATCTGCAAGGCACAAGTCAGGAATGTGATGGAATACTCCCTATTTGCCTTGATAAGTGTAGCTTCCACATCAATCAAGTAGCTGAAAGCCATCCAAGCCAAACCAGCCTGTTTGATTAAAAACCGAAGGAACTGTGGATGCTGTAAATCAAAAACAAAAACAGAAGTTGGTGGAAAAGCTCAGCAGGTCTGACAGCATCTGTGAAGAGAAATCAGAGTTAGTGTTTCAGGTCCGGTGACCCACAGTTCTGAGGAAGAGTCACTGGACTCAAAACGTTAACTCTGATTTCTCTTCACAGGTGCTGCCAGACCTGCTGAGCTTTGCCAGCAACTTCTGTTTCAGCCAGTTTGATTGACTGTGATACAGCTTCCAAACACGTGAGCTCTACCACCGACAAGGGCAATGAGGCATAGGAACACAACCACTTGCAAGTTGCTTTTGCAAGCCACATACCATCCTAACTTGGAATTATATCACCATTCCTTTACAGCTACTGGGTAGAAGTCCTGAAATTTCCTTTCTTAGAGCACAGAGGGTGTGCCTGCAGCAGTTTACGAAGGTGGCTCACCACCACCTTCTCAAGGGCATTTGGAGCTGGACAATAACAAAAGCCCTGCATGAATAAAACAAGCTCACTGCATACAAAGAATACTCCCCCCAAGTCCTTTTGACAACCATCTTAGTCCTTTGGTTACCAACCATTCTGTCACTGTGAAAAGCTTCTGTTCATGTATACTACCAAAATACTTCATGACTTAGAAAAACCTCTACTAAATTTCTCAAATTATCTCTGTCCTATCAGAATTGTCCCAGGTTCTCTAGTCTCTCTATGTACCTTATGTTCATATTCCTAATACCGTTCTAGTTAATCTCCTCTGCACCATCTCTAAGGCCTTGACATCCTTCATGTACCATATTGACCAGAACTGAATGTAATGACTAATCAGCTTTGAAACTTCACAGTGTGTTGTCTCTTTAAACAGGATCCCTCCCAGGAAGCCAGCTTCCGCCCAGCAGGGAATGTGCTGGAGGTAGAGAGGATGTCCCTGTGTTTGTGAGAGCATGAAAGGAATAAGGGTAGGGTCAGATCCATAGGGACAAATGGATTCCAGATCCCGAGTCGAAATTGAATCCTGAGGATGAGTTTAAACCTGAGGTGAGAAGTTTGATACAATTGCTGATCCCCGGGTCCAATCCCTGAATCAAAATCAAATATTAGAGGAGAAGGCAAGCCTATGAGGTTAGGAGAAAGTGGTTCAGCTCCTTGTAGCCCTCAAGCAAATGCTGTCAAGGCATTTTATGTTTCCACAAAGCATTCCTCATCTACTTTGATCAGCTGATTTTCTGGGGCTTGGGCCAGAGTTAAAACATGAGTAATTATAATTATAGCAAGTAATTACTTCCTAGAAGCAGACGGGCAAATGCACACCCGCGCTACCCTTAATGCTATCTCTATTAAATAATATTGATGGCACAATCCCTCACCCAACCGTTACCCACTATTTTGTACAGCCCATCTTATCATAAAACTCCAGTTTGGTCCTTAGCAAAGGTTTGTAAAAGTTTACCAAATTTATTTATACTTTACAGTCCCAGGTTTCACTAACTGCAGGGTAATGGGGGAATGTCTGCATAATGGATGGAAAATGGGAAGAACAGTATCATGTATCATGCTTCTGTAGGCTATGTTAAGTGTAAGATGAAGTGATATATAACTTCGAAAGTGATTTTTGTCTCATAGAAATAATTTTGCTGTCTGAGCAGAAAATGCTATGTTACATTGCCCTCTTATTTGGGTTCAAGATGTAGCCCAGAACTAGATGCATTAACACAAAACAAGATCTAGAGCACAATTTTGTTCATTGATTTTTACCTTGCATAAAGGAATTGATGTATTCAGCAGTTGTTCGATCATCACAGGATCCAACTTAAATCCATTTCTTAAATCTGACTCAGTCATTTTACGATCCCACAGAAGATTACCCAGTGTCAGGTTCTGGTCTAAATCTATTGATTAAAAAGAGTTATTGAAATTTCTCTGTACAACTTACACTGGTTTCTTCTGTGTTAACAGGTCCTATGTTAACAGTGCCCATGGGTTGTTCACATTCTATATTAATTGTAGCTACATAAGGTGGCATCAGTCCTGTCACATTTTCAGTAATCATTCCTACTAATGTGATAGCTTGTGTCTCCGTAGAAAATGGAAAATAAAATAGGGTGGATTGCATCACCGGACATATGTCACAATGATCCGCTGCTACCTAGTCGAGGGCCTTGACAAACTTAAATTTTATGCCCAATGATTTTTGTAATGCGATGTAATTATTTACCAATGGATATTCTTTGTTTATTAAAGACTGAATAAGCTGGCAAACTCACCAGTAGAGAAAAATAGAAAGATTTAATGCACAGAAGGAAATTATTCAGTGCATTGTGTCCTGCTCGTCTGAAAAAAAGTCACTTAGTTTATGCCAGCTTCCTGATCTTGTTCTGTAGCTTTGTTGGTATAGCACATTAATAGCATATTCAAATATTTTTCAAATAAACAATTTAAAATTTCTGCTGCTACCACAATTACAAGCTGTAAATTCCAGACTCTCACCAATCTGGGGTCAATGCTGCCAGAATGCAGGGAAAATACTGTCCTGAAGATTTATAATCCCTGCTCCAGAGATTTCAGATACCAGCCTCGTAACATCTTTTCTCAAAAACGCTTTCTCTAATTTTCCCGTAAAGCCAATATCCTGCAATCAAAGTATTGTTGGGCCTGAGACCACATTCTGGTAATGCAAGATTTCACAGCCATGCCCAAATTGATAAGTCAGTGTTCCCATTCATGATACTTCTGCCGTAAAACACTAACTCATTGTTGGCAATACCACACAAAGATGTTTCAGCGATTATTTTGTTATATCCTTTTTAAATACTTTATATCCTTTTAATTTCAAAGACCTTCCAGCGAAACCTATGACTTTTTGTATTAATTCTGTTTGTGACGCGTCATAAATGTGCATATTTTCCAATTAACTAAATGCTGCCGATGTTTTCTATCTTCATATTTTAAGTTTGAAGATGTTCACACCACAGGCTTCCTTTTGTATGATCCCCATAACTGGATTATCTTCTTATTCCTCCCTTCTGCATAAAAAATGGTACCTGAAACAGCAATTCTTTCCTTGCTGATGAAAACTTTTAATAACCCACTGACCATACTCACGACACGCTGCACACTGCAGTTAGAAACTGCTTTACAATGCAGATGATTATAAAGTGCAATCTTTTATTAAAATTATCAAATCATTTTGAACAATATTTCCCAGCTTGAATTATAATTTTTGATAGGGCCAGACAGTTTGTAACAGGATTGTAGAAGAAACTAGAATTAGAGGGCATTATTTAAAAATCAGTGGTCACCCTTTTAAAATGGGAGAAGATGAGGAAAATGCAATGAGGTGGTTTGTGAGTCTGCGAAACTCTTCTCTGGTGAGTAATGTACACAGTGTCATTGAATATCTTCAAAGACAAATATTTGGTTAACAAGAGAAGCAAGAGATATTGGAGATAAGTAGAAAATTGAAGTTGAGGCTGCAATCAGACCAGCTATGATGTTATCGAATTGTGGAGTTATGAAAAGCAAAATGTTCCTGATTTACATGTTTGCATTCCTGTCAGTTTTCTTACGTGGTGTTGAAACCGCACTTATCTAGGCAAATGGAGAATATTCCATTAAATCCTGACTTGTGCCATGCAGTTGTTCAAAAGACCATGGACAGTCAGGAGGTGAGTTATTGCAGAATACCCGGCTTCTAACCTGCTCTTTTGCCCACAATATTTATATCACAAATGCAGTTCAGTTCCTGGTCAACAGTGACCCTCCACAATGTTGCTGCTGGAACATTTAATGATGGCAATGTCATTTATTGAAATGTGTAGGTAGTTAGATTCTCAATGATGGGACAAGGAAGGACAGGTTTAATTTTTTTTCTAATGCCCCTAAAACTAACAATCATACCAATAAATCAACCAGTTACTGGGATTGATAATAGTCCCGGCACTAAAAAAAATGTGGAAACGAAAATAAAAAAGACCAAAGTAAAAAAATTCAAGAAAAGAAACACATATAAATTATATGAAATGTTTCTGACTCAAAACTAATACGTACCTTGAATGCCAATACTATAGAAGATGTTCAATGCACTGATGGTCAGGTTAAAGCCAATGTCTGAAATCAAATATGAACTCTCATTTTTGGAAGTGAACATATCTTTCAGTGATTCCAATAACCTGAGAAAGCAGAAATTCACATATACAGAATTATTCATAAAACAACAGTCAAGGAAGCACACCAATGCCTCTACTTCTTGAGAAAGCTAAGCAAATTCAGCACGTCCAACATGACTCTTACCAATATAGAAAGCATACTATCTGGATGCATCACATTTGGTATGACAACTGCTCTGCCCAAGACCAAAAGAAATTGCAGAGAGTTATGAATGCAGTCCAGTCCATCACGAAAACCAGCCTTCCTTCCACTGACTCCATCTATGCTTCCTGCTGTCTTAGGAAAACAGCCAACATAATCAAAGATCCCTCCCACCTCAGTTACACTCTCTTCCACCCTCGTCCATTAGGCAGAAGATACAAAAGTTTGAAAACACGTAACAACAGATTCAAGAACAGCTTCTTCTCCAATGTTATCAGACTTATGAAAGGATCTCTCATATATCAGAGTTGATCTTTCATTGCACCTTCTCTGTAGCTGTAACACTATATTCTGCACTCTGTTCTATTACCCTGATGTACTTATGTAAGGTATGATTTGTCTGGATAGCATGCAAAACAATATTTTTCACTGTATCTTGTTGCATGTGACAATAATAAATCAAATCAATTTAATTAAACTGCATTCATATTTTCACCACAAATATGTAGTATTTTAGTTCCTACAGAGACAGTTGGGTGTCAGTCCTGAGATTACTGCAAACAATTTTAATTCACTCTGCCAGGAACACAACAGTTAAAATCACATGGAAAAAATTACCATCTTGATATCCTCCATTCTTGTTTGGAGGTATCTAGATCCAGAAAACACAGTTAATGAATAAAGGATAGCCTGTTTAGGATGAAATGAGGATGAATTTCCCAACTTGGAGAATGGTGAATTTGGAATACATCACCTCGACAGGCTATCGAAGCTTTGCCATTGAATATGTTCAGGACAGAAATTAAGATATTTCTAGATATCAGAGAAATCAAACGTTATAGGGATAGTGCAGGAAAATAACATTACAGATAGAATATATTGTGGAAAATGTGATATTTCAAGTTTCCTAAGAGAAACAGAATATTGCTTAAATGAAAAGAGATTGTAACGTATAGATGTACAAAGCAGCCAAGGTGTTCTTGCCAATAAATCACTGAAAGCTAACATGCATGTGCAGCAAGTTATTAAGAAGGCTAATGGAATGTTAGTCTTTATTGCAAGAGGATTTGAGTACAGGAGTAGTGAAGTCTTGCTTCAATTGTATAGATATTTGCTGACACTGCATCTGGAGTATTGAATACAAATGTGTTCTCCTGACTTCAGGAAGGACATTGCTGTCATAGGGGGAATGCAATTAAGTTTTACAAGGCTTGTTCTCAGGATGGTGGGACTGGGCCTGTATCCTCTGGAGTTTTGAAGAATGAGAGGTAATCTCAATAAAACCTACAAAATATTTAAAGAGATAGACAGAGTTGATGCAGGTAAATTGTTTACCCCGGTTGGAAAGTCTAGAGTCATTGTGCACACTTTAAAAGTAAGGGGGATACCATTTAGGATCAAGGTGAGGAGTTTTTTTTTTACACAGAGGTTATGAATCTTTAGAATTCTCTGACCCAGAGGGCTGCTGAAAGTAGAGATTGATAGATCCAGATGTTCCAAGGAAGGGTCACCAGACCCGAAACGTTAACTCTGATTTTTTCTTCACAGATGCTGCCAGACCTGCTGAGCTTCCAGCAACTTCTATTTCTGTTCCTGATTTACAGCATCCGCAGTTCTTTTGGTTTTTATTCTGATAAATCCATTCTGTCTATAGGAATGACCCTGAACTTCCAGTCCTTGTCATTTCAATAAACTACCATGCTTCTACACTAACATTTCCAGCCTGGGCCTGATACAATGTTTCAATTAAGTTCAATACGAGCTGGAAGAACAAAATTTCATTGTCTGCTTTGATATTTTACAGACTCTAGGACACAATATTGAGTTCCACAACTTTAAAGTATGACCAAGACTTCTGTCTTGTTGTTTTTACAGTCAGCAGCGTGAACCCATTTTCTACTTTTCACTTCTTTATTTACACCTATGTTTTACCTCAATATCACTTTCACCACCATTAGCACTCTGTTCGTCATTTGCTCTGGCCACCCTCATGATCTGTTTTACTACTCTTCCTGCCCTCTACAAATAACATAAAAACCATAATTTTCCAGCCCCTTTCATTTCTGCAGAAGAGTCATACAACTCAAAATGTTAGTATCTATGGTGAAAGAAACAGAGCTATCGGACTTGCTGAGTTTCTCCAGCACTTCTGTTTTTGTTTCAGGTGGGAATTGCGCTTAGGCATAAACCTTTTAATATGCTTTTGATGAACAGATCTAGATAGATGCAGTCTTACGATTCTTGTTTATTTGAGTTTTAAGCCTGGACTTTTAAACATAGAGAAGTATCTGCCTTTATAGTCATAAAGGCAGTTAATAGTTGCTTCAGAAGTCTTATCATTTTAATATTGAATTTCTGAACCACATTAAGAGGAGGAGAGAAAACAAGGAAGAACTGTAGAGATTGTAAGATGAAAGAAAAACTAATAGAGATACAGAGCCCCACAACTGTAGGATAAGTAAGTTTAAGATTGTGGATTTGAGTCTCAATTTTTGACACATTTGTATGCAAAATTGAGGACAGTAAATCAGATTACGTTTCCGGCTTGGAAGGAACGAAAGATATATTCTGGTTCTCCACACCTCGTAGATGTATTAGGACATGCTTTTTTCGTTCTCCTAAAGTAGATTCCAGAGTAAGCAAAAGTGAATGCATAATCTCTGTAGAGAGCATTATGCTAATGACACTGTAAAATAGTTCCACTATCTTAAAAGTCTCTATGTTAGGCAATTTATATCTCTTTAGGGCTTTTAAATGTTTTACCAATTCGTAATAAAATACTAATTTTCAGGTGTACATTTATAACAGCCAATAAAGCACATTTTAGAACATAGAACATAGAACAGTACAGCACAGTACAGGCCCTTCAGCCCCACAATGTTATGCCGACCTATTATCCTACTCTAAGATCAAACCATCCTGTATACCCTACATTTTACTATTATCCGTGTGCCTGTCCAAGAGTTGCTTAAATGTCCCTAATGTATCTGACTCCACTACCACCACCGGCTGCACATTCCACGTACCCATCACTCTCTGTGTAAAGAATCTACCTCTGACATCTCCCCTATACCTTCCTCCAATCACCTTAAAATTATGTCCCCTCGTAACAATCATTTTCAGTTTATGTTGCTACAATCTCAGTCTCACCAAGATTAGATTACAATAGTGTACACAATTATTTCTTTGGCATCGTGCCATTATTATTCCATTGTTTATTGTTCATTATCATAAGCATCTGATTTCTTTTTGTGATGATATTCATATTTTACTGTCTTATCTATCATCTGCTGTAATTTACTTGTCGTTTTTTTCCTATCAATTGGTTCGATACCAGTCACTGTAATTTAACTCTCTTCCTTTAATTTTGACAGTTCCTGTGTCTGCTCCGTTCCCTCACGTTTAGTAACGAGATGGATCTTGATTGATTGTCTCGGATCTGTAGTGGTAGCATTTTCTGTACAGGTTTGCTACTATTTAAAATAGCCTTGCTGGCTTCTATGGGTTTGTGGATGCAGAGGCACGAGATGGTCAGTCCTTCAACCTTTGCAAACACCAGACCACTGCATAATAAAACAAGTGGCAATACGATTGTGGTGGGCATGTTTTATCAATTGAGATGGTTCCTAAGATTACCTAAGTTTTCAAGCAGTAATCATGTAAATCTCTAGCTGCAAAAACAGACATGTTTAGGAAGACATGATCAGATCATACGATAAATAAGGTGTTGGATAGGGTGGTAGCTACAGGTGATCGAGTCAGGAAGGATCGGTGAATAATTGGTTTGTGAAGAAGCTATGGATGTTTAGTGTGGGAAGTAGCTGTGAGTAATTGAGTATGGAAGGAGAGGGAGAAATTGGGTTGGGACATGACTGTAACTGATTGGGTTTGGAAGCAGCAGTAGTTCAGGAAATAGCTGTGGGTGACCAGTTCGGGATGCCACTGTCAGTGATCAGGTTGGAAAATGTCAAAGGGTGATCAGTTTGGCAGGTAACAGTGGACGATGGGATCAGGGAATAACCATGACTGATTGAGTTGGGAAATAGCAGTGGGCGATCAGTGGGAGATATCAAGTAAGGGAGGATCTGTGAGTGATCAAGTTAAGAATTATTTCTGGGTGAGTGATTGGAAAGCAGCAATAGGTGTTTGGGTTAGGAGTCAGCATAGGCGATCGGACTGGGAGATAGCTGTGAGCAATCAGTTCAGGATGCGGTGGGTGATCGTTTCAAGATGTAGCGGTGGGTGATCGTTTCGGGAAGTAGCAGTGGGTGATCTGTCGGGGAGTAGCAGTGGGCGATCTGTCAGGAGTAGCAGTGGGCGATCTGTCGGGAGTAGAAGTGGGCGATGTGTCGGGAGTAGCAGTGGACGATCTGTCGGGGAGTAGCAGTGGGTGATCTGACGGAGAGTAGCAGTGGGCGATCTGTCGGGAGTAGCAGTGGACGATCTGTCGGGGAGTAGCAGTGGATGATCTGTCGGGAGTAGCAGTGGGTGATCTGTCAGGAGTAGCAGTGGGCGATTGGATTGGGAATTAGAGCTGAATGATCAGATCAGGAATGAGCAAGGTTGTTTCAGGGGTCAGTGAAGACGTGATCAGTTTGGAAGATAGGGGCAAGTGATCAAGTCAGGCGGCAGCAGAGGGGGTGATTGGCTCAGGAAATAGCAATCAATGATTGAATGGGTGACTGGGTCAGGAGGAAGTGATAGGTGATTGGATTGGGAGCTGAACGCTGAACTGGTCAGGACATAGTGGGGTTTGATTGTGTTAAGTTGTTATAGTGAGTGACTGAGACAGAATGCTGTAGCAGGTGGTCAGGTCAGATGTTATGGTGGGTGATGTAATTTTTAGCGTGTTACCTATGGT